ACTAACTTCTATATTTTTCAAGCTACAGACTTGTACTTACAACCATTGGATAGCTGGTAAAAAAACTCACTTTAAAAAAAAACCTTTTATGACCAGGAACGAAGTTAGCGACTATTCTTTAAAAAATCATTTCTCTAGTGTTTGGAGGTACTTTGGAAAGATCGACATACGAAAGTGGAGAGGATAACCGTTTCAGCTCCGTTACTTTTTCGACATCGGTATTTCAAATTGAAACACGTAGCAAAAATTTACATTATCTCCGCTTTAATGCAGCTCGAAGCCTCTTTTTTTATTCTGGGGTAGCTCGTCGAAATATGAATAACTACATAGTTTTCACTGCCCGGAAAATATGGGAAACCTCAGAAAAATTCAGTCCATTTGAAATTCACCGTAAAAACTTTTAATTTAGCTAGAAAATCAAGATACATTTTTTTTTCATGTAATAATACTTATATATTTTTTAAATAAAATTTCAGGTAATTTTTACACATTATATTATTATATTCTTTATTAATTATAATTATTTGTATTTTTATAATTAACAATATTGATTTTTATTCTATTTTTCGTACAAATATGATATAGAATATTAATCTAATCTGCGTTACTGCTTTGATAAAATAAGTCGATTGTTTCATCACTTTGTCTTATTAAATTTTGCAATGTTTTGGTCCATTAATTCGACTTCACTGTCAACTCTGAACCTTTTTGTTGCAGGTTGTTTATCTTCACTTATTAAAAATCTCTAAATATACATCTTCAGAATCACTGTCGTCGTCAAACGTAACTGTACCGAGGTTGCAGCAAAAAGGAAAATACTTACTTTGTAACTACTACTGCTTACAATTTTGTTCTGAAGCTATTTTCTTGTGGCATTGTAAATTAATTATTATTTATAACTGGGAATAAGCCACAATTAAAGATAAAAATACGTTTATTGACGTTTCAATTTCCAATTCGGAAATCGTTCTCAAAATACGATTTCCGAATTGGAAATTGAAACGTCAATAAACGTATTTTTATCTTTAATTGTGGCTTATTCCCAGTTATAAATAATAATTAATTTACTGCTTACAAGTTAATGCCACAGTCTGCTGTTTATTTTGAAATAATCTATAATAAATAATATTTTTCACTGATTATACAAGTTGAAAATAAATAATTATTTATTCAATAGTTGTAAATATGACTTACAATTCAATCAAAAAGTAATTAAATACGTTTAGTTAAAACTTTTTTGTTCAAAATACACAAAATATTTTACTCAAAGAAGTATAAGTATATTGCTTTTTAAAGCCACTACACTAAGACTGACGAAATTTTGGAGCGTGGAGCTGAAACAGTTTATCCTCCCCTTTCCTATGTCGGTCTTTCGAAAGTACCTTCGTTTCGAAAGGCTGTAAGTTCCGAAAAATTGGATGAATTTTATAGCTATAAGTTTCAATATAAATTTTAGATTTTCCTTCAAAATTTGTGCAAATTTTACTTCTTAATGTTTATAAACAATGGAGATATGATTTTTTAAAAATAGTCGCTAACTTCGTTCCTATTGGTCATAGAAGGTTTTTTCTAATGTGCGTTTTTTTACCCGCTATCCAATGGTTGTACGTACAACTCTGTAGCTTGAAAAATATAGAAGTTATTACAATTGTTTATAAGTAAAAAACATACCGATTTTTCCAACGTTTATTTTGTAAATAATTTCGATGAAAACAGAATATGCATTAAGTCTTAAAGAATTCTATGAAATTTGCTAAATGTGTCTAGCATCATTTATAGGGCAACTTCAATAGTTTAAATAATTAGTCTCAGGGATAAATAAATTAAATAACTTTTAAACTATTTAACCGATCGGGAGGAAATTTCGCATAAATTTAAAAGACGTTAATTCCTCGATGTTCAAATAACATTTTATTTTGTAAAAAATAAATAAAATTTATAAATTAGTGCAAAAAAACTGGTTTTTTGCAAATATCTCCGTAAATTATTTATTAATTTTAATTGAAAAAACAGGAAAATAAAGATATTTTTGATATAAACAATTGAGGGGCTGAGAGGAAAAGTGGTACAAGTGACATTTAGATAGTTTTGAGAAAATGAGAGTTAAAGTTTAAGTAGTGGCACAAAAAGACCAAACAAAATTTTAAAATCTAATCAAGATATTATTATTAGTAAGTTCTTAATGTTTTCATGTGCAGTTTTTACAATCATATACATTTAGTTTTTTTGAAACATTTTTTACAAAATGTACTTGTACCATTTTTGTTGTTTAGAGTAAAAATGGTACAAGTAAATATTACCATGAGTAAATAAATAAATAATATCTTTTATAAGAGAAATACACGTAATTTTTTGAACATTTATTTAAGAAGCTACATTAGATACGAAAACAAAATGTATATTGCACAAAAATACAGGAACAAAAAATGCATAAAAATAATAACGAAATGATATTATATAGACGTGCTACCAACTGAGCTAAATATCTTCCTCATCATAGTCGCTCAAAAGTATTTTATCATTGTCGTCTACCTCATCGTCATCTTCATTGTCCTTCTCTTTTCTTTCTTCAGGTTGCATTGGCTTCTTTTTCTGACCTTGTTTTCCCTTCTTCGCTGTGTGATTCAGCTGATTGTAAAATTGATGGTAAATTGGTGGCACAAAGCATAGTAGGTCTTGTAAATTCTTCCATTTTTCATACTTCAGACTCATGGGTGAACTATACAGTTTGCTAAGACTAATATTCTGAGGTGTTCTTCCACGCATCTTCTTCATACAGTTAACAGTTATAAATTTCATAGTAAATGGGTCTTTCTTCTCAAACCGAATCCATTTTATTTCTCTCCATTTTATCTGCTTATTCTCATCATCCTTTTTAATATTTTCCTGCACGTACTCGTTGAAGTTTTCGAGTGAAATGAAGTGCTCCATCTTCATTTCTTCACATTTAAACTTCTTAGAACTGTTTCTCACAGCATTCATCCACTCACTGGGTACAAAAATATAAGGTACTTGCTTTTTGTACTTTTCAATGACTCCGAAAACTTCATCGCATTTCATGAAGGTATGTCCCGGTTCAAGGAATTTGTGGTCTATTATTTCTAGCTGAGTTTCTTTAACCACATACATAAAAAATTTCACAATATTTTTATTCTTATTTTGTCCCGAACAAGAATCACTAAATGCAATAAGATGTCGTGTATTTTGATTAAGACCAGCAATAAATTTCCAAATACATGAAGAAACTTCCATAGAGCCTCTGGATGCTACCGATTCATCCCACATATACATTGAAGCACATTTCTTGCCCAAATTATGGATTCCAAAATTATATGTCCATAATACTCGCATATAAAACACTTTGTTGGTTGTAAGTGCTGGTGTAGGTAAAGTTTTTTGTAGATCGAAACAAACTGATACCACTTCTTCATTCCTTGAAGTTTCAGCCACTATTTTTGCCTCTTTTTTGGCTTGTATTCCCGATTCGGCTTTTCGGTGATGAAGCTCTCTCTCGCACATTAATTTCCTAGACCCCAGAATTGGTTAAATATTTCCTGTCTTTGTTCATCGGTGAATTTTTGACACTGAAATCTACAAGTATGTATATAATTTTGCAAACTTCTTGCTTTTACTAACTTGTTTTTATAGCCTACGTATTCCTCACCTGCATTTCTTTTTCGTTTTCTTACTTGCCTCTTATCTAAATCGCTATATCTCAAACGTTTTTTGCCCTTTTTCTTTAATGACTTGTTTAAATGAACATCTGCAATGTTTTGTAGATCATGATTATTATCGCTACTACTTTCTTCTATTGGATTATAGTTTCTGTCCTCTTCTGAATCGTCATATTCCGAATAACTGTCAGATTCTGAAACAAAAAAGAAACATTTTAAGGTTATGCTATAGGTTTCTTTCAACTACTACTTTTTGAAGACATAGATAAATAAAATATCCCTATATAATAACAATTGAAAAAATATAAAACGCATTCAAGACTTACCTTGCATTATTTTAAGGCTATTTCACAAATTGTATTAATATTCCTGCACACTTTTAAAACGTGGCTGTCACAAACAACTACATAAGGTTTAGAACAAAAGTGGGACATGTACGCTTGGACCACTTATACAGAAAACCATTACCCGAAATTGGTGAGAGCTTTTACTTCTCACATACAGATGTCCGTACTGTAGTGTGTTTTGTACTTGTACCATTTTTATATTAATAAATCTCAACATCCTCTAGCCACTCATGCACATATCTCACTTTTATACAAAATGTCACTTGTACCACTTTTCCTCTCAGCCCCTCAATTGATATAAATATTGTTTATTTAAAATATACGAAAAAAAACTTATGGACAAAAAATCAAATTGTGACCATAAATTATTGTTTAAAAAACGCAAGGTAAAAATAAGAGTACCTTTTCATCTATTCGTCATCTAGTAACCCCCACCAATGTCTTAAAAGCTTCAGATATCTGCGAAAAATTTTGCCGTGAAATCGATGATTTTTGTATAACCAGACCGGGCTATCGAGTTTTAGGTTTGAAAGACCAGACCTACAATTATTTTTTCCTGGCGTTTGTCCGAAACTGTGGCAGGACTATCCGTTAAAAGTCGTAACTGTCTTCCGCTAACTAAAAATTCAACACAAAAAATTATATGTCCTAAAAAACTACTGTCCTTGAAAAAGCTAGACCGTTTGAGTGTTTCTCCCGACCTTTTGTTAAGTTTTCGCTACAATCCAAAGAACTTTTGTGCTATATTAAAACCGCCATTAAAACCCTGGACTGGCCGTTATATTTCTGAAACATAAGAATAAACCAAACGATATATACAAACAATGTATACAAAGAACACAAAAGGGTTTTATGAATAGAAAAGGTTATGGCAGCTGTCTTCAACTCCATATAAATACAATATTTAACATATTACAAGAAAACAGTTTTAAAGACTTTTTAAGTGGTTATAATTAGATAAACAAAATTTAAGACTTACCTTAAAATCTGCATGAAACATTTTGTTTTGCTTGTCCTTTTTATTAACAATATCAAGTTCGTTCTTTTCAAAATCTACCACGTAACAAACTTCTTCGCTACTTCCGTTTCTCGGCAGAAATCCATTCATAGAATTGCATATAAAAAAAGTATTAAACCAAAACTGGAATAATTTCTCTTTCCTCATCATAGTTTTACTAAAAAACTCAACTTTTATATCGCCTTTAAGAGGTAGACAATAGTCCAACTTTATCGAAAAAGGAGATCCACTCTTTTTAACTTCGTACCAATCATTCTTCCGTAATTTTTGAAGTTTTGGAGTGTATTTATCACCTAAAAATATTACAATGACATGATATTATATAAAAATTCAGGCCAAATAGTGGGTGAACTGAGTAGATCAACACTTTAAGAATTAAACTGAAGACTAAATTACGAAAGAAAAGTTTCAAAAAGATCGAAAAGAAAATATCTATTAAACTTGGTCTTAAGAGTGCAAAGGTTTTTATTAAATATCAGGTAAATAATAAATATGTCCTAAAAGTTTTGGTACATTCATTGGCGTCAATTTTAACAAAAACAAAATAATAATAAGTTGCCTTAGGAAACAATGTCGAATATTCCAAAATTAAAACATTTTACGCAAAACCATTTATAGAACTATAGCGGCGTAAAAGTAGGAAGTACCATGTCTGAATCTCCCCAAAAGTGGAAGAACACGTGCATTTACTGCACAGAGGTCAGTGAGAGGAGTAAAAACCAGGTTGAAATGTCAACGAGGAGTCTGACTCGTCAGTACAGATCTTTTAAAAGTACGATATCGTTGGAATGGTCTTAAATATCAAAAGAGACCCAAGAGTACCCAAAATACTCTTAAGCACAACTCCTTCGTATACTAAGATGCTGTCGTCAACTAAGACATAAAATCATTCTTCTTCGTCTTTATAAGCAATTCTGTTTGTTCATTGGCGGATGAGTACCTCTATGGAAGATTGTCACTCTATCTTTTGCTCGGTCGACATAATACTTCCAATACTCTTCTCGGTCTCCCCCATTCTGATTATGTGGTTATTCCATTTTTTTCTATTTAGTGTCCATTCGTTTATACACTGTACGTTACATTTTCTTCTAATGTCTTCACTTCTCTTTCGATCTCTCAGCGCATTTCTTGTAATTCTTCTCAGTACTCTTATCTCTGCCGTTTTTAGTAGCCTTTGTGTTGTGGCTGTGTCAGGTCTTGTTTCTAAGGCATATGTTATTATTGGTCTTACACTGGCTTTATAAATTCTTCACTTCATCTCAGTGTTAATGTGCCTGTTTCGCCATATAGTATTATTAAGACACCCTGCCAGTCTATTTGCTTTTTGTACTTGATCTCTCACTTTTTTGTGCATGTCTCCAGAGCTGGACAGTGTAATTCCAATGTATTTTATTTCCATTACTTGTTCGGTACTGATGGATTCTTTGTCGATTAATATTATTTTAGTTTTTTGAGATGAGATTATCATATTAAATTCTTTTGTTCTTATGTGAAATCTGTGGACCAGTCATTGCAGAATATCTTCATCTTGGGAACGATCTATTTTTATTTATATTTCTTTCATCAACTTCCTTGGTCAAGGCTACGATATTATACTGTTTTGCCCAGCTTTCTTCTACTCCATCACTTTTTGTGATATTTGTAATTCTGTTTTTTTCTTTTATTTTTTTTTTTGGAACAGATATCTTCTCAGAGTCATCCCGTAAGCTTCCAATTTTTATCGTTGAGGTGTATTCTGGTGTTTTGTTATCACATACATATTGGGATTTTGCCCAATACCAAATTACAAAGGAAGTTACGCAAAGGGTGTAACTTCCTATTTCAAGGAATATAGATTATCATAGATCTTTGTCCTCTAGTGTTTGCAAAGGTGTATAAAACGTATTTCGTTTCTGCTGTAGAGATCGATTAGAAGGTCTCCGTTTTCATTTCAGATATTTTCATTATATCGCTGTTTTATTCCTGGAACTATATCATTGCCAACACGGGCGTTAAAATCACCCATAATGATTACATATTCATCATTTGGGGTCTCGTTTATCACAGTCTGAAGGTTTTCGTAGAAGTTTTCCCTTGTGATGGTATTTCTGTTGTTCTCTGGTGAATAGATTTCTATCACATTCGGAGGTTTGACATCCAGTTTAACTTTTACACTTACTATTCTTTCAGAAATATATTTACATTCTTGTACTTGGTGTAAACATTTTCTGTGTACTAACAGGCGACTTCTTTAGCTCTGGTTTCTTTCGAAAGTATTTTAGAAGACAAGTAATTCATTTTGGATAATTCTAAAATAAAGAGAAACAATTGATGTAGAGACGTCGTAAAGGAATGTCTTGACAATGTTAGATATAAACATAGAGCGAAATTTTTAGATAAAATCCTTGTCTGGTGCAAAATCTCTAACAGGGGTGTATCCCTACCTGTTATGGGAAGAGTGAGGGGTGAAGCTTTGAATATTCAAACAACTAGCTTTCCAAATTGCTTCAGTTTATCCACGAACAATATGCTACTAACAATATTATGATTTAACCAGAGCTAGCCATTAATTAGCCAAAAAGGCTACTTTTTAATCATGCCATTACTCAAGAGATGCCTAAAACTGGCTTCGACAAGAACATACACCTTTTGTTCCCAAAACCGATAACACAGACCGACAAGATTGATACCCAGAAAACAGAGTATACTTTTCCGAAGGTTTTTGGTACGCTAAATATGAATCTGAGCTCCAAATTGCCGAATAGGGTCTGCTTTCTAATATATCGTAACCTAAAAGTGCAAAGAGCACTGTAAGACAGTCGCGTTCCCCCAGGGCGACAGAGAAAACTGACGCAAAGCAGTCCCTGCATCTCTTTCTAATTTGCGTCAGTTTTCTCTGTCATACTGGGAGAACGCGACTGCATTGCAGTAGTCAGTCTATTTGTGTTATATGTCTATGGTTTTTGACCATTTTTGAGGCTATATATACCCGTTAATTTTTTATATCCTAAAATAATACGCATAACACCTTAAACTAGAAGTCTTTCTCTTTCAAATGGGTAGACTAAATAATAAGAATGGGTATAAATATAGCTTTACTTTTTTTTTTTTTCATAAAATCTAACTCGCTTTAATTCAAACGATCATTTGAGTGTCTTACGTCTGTGTTCAACTGAAAAGTTATTGCTCTTAAGTGATCAGCAGTAATCTAATATCATTCATATATCACAAACACCTTGAAAATGACGCTTTTTCGGCTTGAAGTCTGGGTGAAATCCCTCTCCTATCTTTTCGCTTAATGCACCTACATTTTCTGGGAAATAATATAAATGAGGTGGTCGACCGACCACCTACAAGATGGACTGACGATTTAAGAAGACTCAATAAAAACTGGATAAGAGCGGCGCAATATAGACGGGGTTGGAAACATGAGGAAGAGGCCTATGTTCAGCAGTGGACTCCTTGTTTAAAACCAACCCATGCTTCTTTTTCTGTAAGTCTTATAGTTTTCTCAAAATTGTCATCTTTCATTAGCTTTCGAATGTCAGAGCCTACAAAAGCAGTAGAGGTTGATAGGGCTAGAGGTGTTTTGTTTGTTTCGATCAGTAAATACAATTACTGTATATGGTTTTATTTTGATATGATACAATAAGAAATTAATGTGAGAGCGCCCACCAAACTGGCATGGCAAGTGACTAGTAGCAAGTAGCACGCGTCTAGCATGTTACTTAAAATGTAAACAATGCAAACGAATGATTAGAATGAATGACGTCACTGCCATTTTGGTGTGCGCTGAATCATTCGTTTTCATTGGATACCTTTTAAATAACATGCTAGACGCGCACTACTTCCACTTGCCATGCCAGTTTGGTGAGCGCTCTCCATAAGAGATTCCAAAGTTAGGTCGGTTTGCCTGTTTGTGGATTGCAAGGGATGGTTTCTAGGGGTTGGTTGGGTTTGGGTTATGTAGGTTTGAGACTGTTGGATTTGGGGTTTGAAGACTTTAACACTAGACGCCAGAAGGTTACACGAAATTACTTTATAGGTTTTTTTTAATTAAGAAACTTTAAAATTCGATATATCAGCGAAAAATGAAGCTATCTGAGTAAACTCAACGTCACTTAAAAGATTGAAACTTATAAATTAAGATAATAATATCAGTTTATCAGGAAGATATATTGATAATTGATTGATATGATAATTGATTGATATTGGTAAGATACTACATAAACTCAAAACGGCCAAAAACAGCTATTTGCACTTTTAAGTTAAGATATCTCAGAAACCAGAGCCAATTTGGAGCTCAGATTCGAATTCAGCGCACAAAAACTTTCTGAAAAGTATATTCTAATTTTTGGGTCCAAATATTGGTCAAATTTCTGCATTAAAAAAATCCGATAAATATTTTGCTAAATCTTTTAGGACATACGTTACAATCTACACACTTAAACTTGCTCTATTGATCTAACAATTTTGCAAAGATCTTTGCACCGGATCACGTCATAAACGTTTATTTGAAAAGTATGTGAATGTATTTGTTTTTAATATATTATACAAATACTTACCCTCTTTCACAAGAGTTTGATGTGAAATAGTGAGAGACAGGCAACCTTGTCCTCCAGTAAAATTCGGCACCGGATTAAGTATAAATTCTTTTATATACATAGAAACTGGGGTATAAAAGAGGTTTTGTTTTAACAAAGTCTCGTAGTACTGTACATATCGCACTTGACTGGGAATCGTGACTCCTTTCTTATCTTGTGTTCTAGTTTGTCCGTAATAGTTCAGAGCCGATTCAGCACTGGAAAACATTCCGCTATGAAGGAGATAGCAACAGATCATGGTTCCGGTCCTGCCTTTACCAGCCTTACAATGCACCACAGCCACATTCTTCTTATCTATCGATAACCATTCGTGGACGTCGTTACAAAACGGTTGGATCGAATCGATTTTGGGGGGATTGTGATCGTCGAAGGGAAATATTTTGACTCTGTTGTGGAATTTTAGCTTGTCGTAGCTTCGTTCGGAGCAAAGGTTGTAAATGTAATAGTGGTCGGGATGCTTCTTGTCGAGGAATTTTACAACGTCATCAATATGATTACGGTAAACTCCTTCTATCTTAGAGGCCGGGTACCCCATTGCAATTATATTGTCGGTGATATCTAACCTTTTGTTAAGGAAAAATATTGGTTTTGCCATAAAAGGATTTAGAAAATGATAAACTTGTGTGGTAATTGTAATAAACTATAAAACATATTAATCGAACTGGCATCAATAGAAAAGACTGTTTTTACATATATGTAAAATTTTTTCTTTCTCTTTCCTTTTTTTTCCATTTCGAAAAGATATTGCCTATCTTTATTAATTAATATATACCCTCCATTACTATTTATCTACTTAGACAACGACCACAGCGAGAAAGTTAAGAACAAAAATCTAGTTTGACATAATAGAAAATGACCTACAACTTATTTCCTTGTTTTTTATCTTACATAAAAACATTTTCAATATGTGAACACGATAAAATAACTCTCCCTACATCTTATTGATGTAGGGATGAACAGTATTTTTAAAGAAAAAATCACATTAAATATAAAAAATCAGTGTAAATGAAAGTACGAGAATTGTGCGTAGCGGGTAATCGTGTGCTGAATTGTATTTCAAATTCCGTGGAAGATCTGGAAATCAGACACAAAAATGTTACTGAACCTCTAAAAATTATACCAGCAAGCTAAATTTTGCTGAATTGTTAGTTTTGGGACCACAAAAAAAGAAAAACTTTACCACTCCTACCCTCCCTAAAACACGGATAATTTTCAACAAAAATGTTTGTTAGCATTTTTTGTGTAAAATGAACCGTTCTCTCAGAAAAAACGATTGAAACGACCGATAATTTTGTTCTAATGAATTACTACAAGATTTGTAGTAATTTTTACTCGACGGTAAAAATTCGATATCTCTTGATCAGTCTCCTATCGACAAAAATCAAAATGCGTTTTTAAAGTTGAAGAATGCAGATTTCGTATACAATTTTTGTATTTTGTCGCAAATGCAGTCCGTTTTTATAACGGTGTTTCATAAATAAATGTTGCGCGATATTAGCCAATTTTTACAATTCTCATGAGATCGACAAATATTATTGCTGCCATTGGCCGGTTACTGTTGAATTTCCATTGTTAAATCCTACTCTTCAAAATCTAGAGCATGAAATTTCAGTTTTGAGTTTTGGCAACAAATGAGAGGCATTTGAAATAAGCCTAAAAATGATAAATTTAAACTTTCACGTTACAAACACTCTAAAACGTTTAAAACCGCTTCTTTTGCATTGCACAAGTATGTTTTTCAAAACTACACAGCTTCAGCTACAAATTCCACCCTATACCGACTTCGTGGAAGCATTTCCCGTGACGTTCGATCGTTTTTTAGGAATATTACAAATGCCTTATATTTGTTGCCAAAACCCAAACAACATCAAAAGTTCATTTTATAGGTTTTTACATTAGGCTGTAAGAGTGGGTGTTTTAGGGGGAAGCATGGGGATAGAAGTGGCAAACTTAGGAGAAAACTCACAATCGAAATTTCATGTTATATGTTTTGAAAATTAGGCACTAATAATGTAAATTCCACTAAGACCGGTCAATGGAAGTGATAAATTTTATTGATCTCATGAGAATCGTAAAAAATGGCAAAAATCGCGCAAGATTTATTTATTGAATAGATTTATAGAAACTAACTTAATTTGCGACAAAATACAAAAATTGCATACGAAAGCTGCATTCTTCACCTTTAAAACGTTTTTTGATTTTTTTTTCGATGGGAGACTTACAAAAATATATCGAATTTTTACCGTCTAGTTAATACAAATTTTCTTTAAAATTGATTTCGCGTGCGCAACTGACATTTAAAATCGCCAGTCGCTTTAAGTATTGTTTCTGAGAGAACGGTTCATTCTACACAAAAAGTCCTAATAAATATTTTTGTTAACAATTATCTCAGCCACATTTTTTATTTGAAACATTTTTTCTACAACTTACAGATTCTTGTTAAATCGATTTTTCCATCCCTGGGAGGCGGCGCTTTAGGGAGACCCGAGGGGTAAGAGCGGTAAACTTTTTTTCATCTTTTTTAGTGTCACAACATTGACATTCTTGGCAAAATTCAGCTTGTGTGATTTTTAGACATCAAATCTCTGACGACTGGACTAATATACAGCGATATCGTCGAATATTGACAATAATATATCGAAATTAACAAATGAAGCAGTAGTCCGTCCAATACATAAAAAACCCGAACTAATACTGAATATAAAAATAGATAAACTTTGACTATCTAATGAGAGGCAAATATACGTACTGCAAAATATGACGCACAGAAATATCGAAGGAATCTAGGACCTAGAAAAATGTCCTAGATGAGAAACTTAGAACTATCGATGATGTCCGATAGGAGAGAAACGCAAAAAAGAAGAAAATTAACGAATCAAGTCAATTAATTATTGGACGAATTAAGAAAAAAAAATGAGAAAGCAAATTCCGTCTAAACATTGACGAACTAAAGAATTTCTAGCTAATAAACTGAAAAATAATTTAAATATTATTATGGTGTATTATACTACTCTCCAAAATTAACGCACCACCTCAAATAGACCATGATTTTGAAACTATACTTCTCCTGAACCCTTAATTGGATTTCGATGATTTTCTTTTTCACATTGTACGTATATTTTAATTAATTATTAATAATTAATGTTTTTTCAGAAATTTCTATGTTTTACCTATATATATATATATATATTATATAATCGAACACCTCTCTACCCTAAGGTTTGAGGTAAATACAAATACAGGTTACAGATATACATTACATCTCAAATCCTATGAAAATACAGATTTTTTTTATTCTATTCTGTGAATTTTGTCCATTCTTTCTTGTTTTTTGCCTTATTTTGAGCTTCTGACCATTCCATTCCCCTAATTTTCAAAATCTGCCCTACCTCTTCTTCCCAGGTTTTCCGTGGTCTGCCTCTGGTTTTAAACCTTTTCACTTTAGCCTTCCAGACTTGCTTAATGGGTCGGTTGTCGCTCATTCGGTACAAATGACCAAACCATTTTATTTGTTGTGTTTCAATAGCATGTAGTACAGATTCTGTGCCCAGTTCTTCTCTAACATCTTCATTTCTTATTTTGTCTCGTCGTGTTATTCCTTTGACTCGTCTTAGATATTTCATATCAATGGCTTGTATCTTGGTTTTTAATTGCTTTGTTAAAACCCAGCTCTCGCTTCCATATATCAAGATTGGTCGGAATACTGTCTTATAAACTGTCATTTTGGTTCTGCTGATTTCCGGTTTACCTATGAATGCTCTACTAAGAGTATGGTACACTTTTGAAGCACTACTTATTCTTTCTGTTATTTCATTCTGCATGGTACCTTCTCTGTCTATTGTAACCCCTAGGTATTTGAATGCATCTACTTGTTCTATGAGTTGTTGGTTAATTTCTATGTTAACATTTCGGTTAGTTTTCGCTTTTAGCATAACCTTGGTTTTCTTAACATTAATCTTCATGTTTCTAATTGCCAGCTCATTATTCCAGCTATCTATATTTTTCTGGAGGTCCCTTTCGTTGGAAGCGCATAACATGAGATCATCTGCGAATGCATACTCAGCTATACCAACCGGTCGTAGTTTACTATATCCAATATGTACTTTGTGTATACTTGCTTTTGTTTCCTTAATTATGTCGTCAATAATCAATATGAATAGTGTGGGGCTCATAACACCTCCTTGTCTTAGACCCTCGTTTATTGCAAACATCTCTGATTCCAAGTTATCCTTAAGTGCATAACTCTTGTTATTTTGATACAGACTTTTGATAGCACCTGTTAGTTGATGGTCAATATTTCTATTTTGCAGACTTTTCCAAACTGCTTCCTGGGATACTCTGTCAAATGCTTTTTCAATATCTAGAAAAGCCATATATATTTCTGTGTTCTTTATTCTAGCTTTCTCAATTATTTGTTTCAACGTAAATATATGGTCTTGCGTACTGTGTCCCTTCCTAAACCCACTATGTACTTCATCCAAATGTGGTTCAACGATGTGTCTTAATTTCTTTTCTAGGATGCTTTCATATATTTTGGAGACGATACTAAGTAGATTAATTCCTCTATAATTTTCACAAGAACTTGGGTCTCCTTTCTTAAAGATTAGTAGAATTATGCCAATTCTCCAATCTTCGGGGACTGTAGGTACATCGGTTCCAAGCCATGTTCATAATTTTGGCTAAAAATTCGACTCCTTTCGGTCCCATTGTCTTTAACATTTCTGCAGTGATTTTGTCATGACCAGCCGATTTACCTCTCTTTGTATTGTTAATTGCTTCTTTAACTTCTTCTATTTGAATATAATTTTCTTGTCCATGTTCTCCTTCTACTTCTATCATTACAGTTTCGTCTTTCGGCTGTCTTGGTGTTAGGAGTTCGCTGAAGTATTGTCTCCATTTTTCCATAATCTCATTTGGTCTGATAATCAGTGTGACGTCTTTACGTTTCACCTGTTTCATCGTTGTTTCTTTACCTTTTCTTAGCGTCTTTCGTGCCTTGTAAAACAATTTTTTGTTACCCCGGCTATCTGCTTCCAACTTCATTCCAAGCTCATCCCAGGCTTCTTTCTTTCAGCACCATTTCTTTCACCACCTTTCTTTGTCGTTTATATTCCTCGTAACTATTTTCTGTTTCTTGTTTAAGTATATTTTCCATTTCTGTTTTTTATATTTTATAGCTAGCTAATAAACTGAAAAATAATTTAAATATTATTATGGTGTATTATACTACTCTCCAAAATTAACACACCCCCTCAAATAGACCATGATTTTGAAACTATACTTCTTCTGAACTCTTAATTGTATTTCGATGATTTTCTTTTTCACATTGTACGTATATTTTAATTAATTATTAATAAATAATGTTTTTTGAGAAATTTCTATGTTTTACCTATATACGGGGTGTAAAAATAAAGTTATGTTTTTTCAGCTAATCTTGCAACGCCCTATGGAATGTTTTAGAAACAAACGCTACTTCTTATTAATATTTCGGGATTCTTTATCAATATTTTCGTAAAAAAAATATCTCGATATCTCTATTATCAAAAAAGAAATGTACG